CCTACCTCATGTCATACTAAAAAAATTATCTCAATATGGATCAAAGACCGAAATACGAGAGTTCAAATTACACAATTCTTAGAAGAAATCAGGAGTAAACCTTCATGACCTTGGATTTTGCAATGGTTTCTTAGATGTGACACCAAAAGCACAAGAACCAAAAAAAAACCTGGACTTCAAAACTAAATACTTTTGTGAATCAAAGGACACTATCAAGATAGTAAAATGACACCCACAGAATAGGAGGAAATATTCACTTAATTATATGTTCAGTAAAGGTCTAGTAGCCAGAATATATAAAGAACTCTTATAACCAAACAACAAAAAGACATCCTAAATAAAAAATGAGCAAAAGACTGGGACAGCTATTTCTCCAAACATGATAAACAAACAGCCAATAAGCACATGAAAAGATGCTAAATATTATTAATCATCAGGTTAAAGCAAATTAGAATGACATACCACTTCACACCCACTAAGCTGTCTATAATTAAAAAAAAAAAAAGTAAAATAACAAGTGGTGATGATGTGGAGAAAGTGGAACCCCAATACACTGTTGGTGAGAATGAAGATGGTGCAGCCATTGTGGAAAACAGTAGGGTTACCATATCTCATGACTTAGAAATCCCTTTCCTAGGTTTTATCACCAAAAGCAAACAAGCATCCAGACAAAAATCTGTACATGAGTATTAATAGCAGCACCATTCCTAACAGCCAAAAGGTAGAAACAATCTAAATGTTCATCAATTGATAAATGGATATGCAATATATCTAGACAATGGATTATTAGTCATAAAAAGGAATGATACACCGATACATAGTACAACATGGATTAACCTTGATAACAGTATGCTAAGTAAAAGAAATAGTCACAAAGACTACATGTTACATAATTTCACCTATTAGAAATGTATAGAATAGACAAATCTATAGAGACAAAACACAGATTAGCAGTTGTTTAGGGCTGGGGGTAGGTTATGTCAGTATGAGGAATGACAGGTAATAATATGAAATTTCTTTTTGAAGTGATGAACAGGTTCTAAAATTGATTGTGGTGATGACTGCACAAATCTGTGAATATACTAAAATTCACTGAATTGTGTACTTTAAATGTGTGAACTGCAGGTATGTGAATTATATCTCTAAAAGCTGCTTTAGAAAAAGGGCACTAGAAGAAATAGGATTCTTTGGATTTTCTATATCCTATTAAATAAACTGAATTCAAAAGTAAAAACCAGCCACGAGAAACCTCCAAGGCTAGACTGCTTCACAGGTTTATTTTTCCAAACTTTTAAGGAGACAATAATAGCAATCTTAAGCTCTTTCAGAGAACATAAAATGAGTAGCTGTTTCTCAACTCAAGAGTATAATGTTAATGCCTTTAACAGAATCAAGAAATAAAATTACAAGATCATCTCACTAGATGAAGAAAAGCACTTGACAGTATTTAATACCCAAGTGTAATAAAAAATCTCAGTAAACTAAAAATAGAAAGGAAACAAACTTCCTTATTTTAATAAAGGGTACATACAAAAAACTTACAGTTAAAATAAGACTGGTGAAATACTGAGTGCTTTACCCCTTGGGTGTGGTATAAGGAAAGGATTTCTATAATCACTACCTGTGTTCAACATTTTACTGGAAGTCTTAGCAATAAAGCTAAAGAACAACAACAACAAAATTAAAGATATAAAGATTGCAAAGGAAGTAAAACTGTCTTTATTGCCAAAAAATTATTGTGCCACATTTAAAGTCCAAAGGAATTTACAGATAAGCTATTAGAATAAGTGAATTTGGCAAAATGCCTAGACATGAACCCAATACATTTTAACAAGCCAATAATGAACAACTGGAAAATGACATTTAAAAAGCAGCACCATTTGCACTATTGTCAAAATAGATCAAATACCAAGGGATACATCAAATGAAAGATATAAAAGATTTAAGCTCTACTGTGTAACACTTGCCAGCAGGTTTTTCTGTGGAAAACAATACAATTTCTATGAAAATGCAAAGAACCTAAAATGGTTAATACATTCTTGAAGAATGTTAAACTTGGGGACCTTACACTATCATATTTCATGACTTACCATAAAGCAACAGTAATTATGACCATGAAGTACTAGCAAAAAGATAAAACAAGTGGAGCAAAGGAAGAGAATGCACAGTCTAGATACAGGCCACGCAATTGACCAGAGACTGCTGCGATTCAGTGAACAGAGAACAGTCTTTTCAACAGATGGTCCTAGAGTGACTGGATGTCCATGTGGAAATGTGAACCTTGACAACCACCTTACACCAAACACAAAAGCACATTCTATATAGTTCATGCTCGAATAAGCAAGTATGTAGTAACAATATAGGAGAATATCTTTATGATCTCAGAGCAGGGAGAGATCTTTCAAACATGATACCATTAAGAGAAGACTGACTCTGACCTTTATTGAATGTATGAACTCTGTTATCAAAGACATTCTTAAAAAGATGATTTTGCAAGCCATAGAATCCAAGAACATTAGCAATACATACATCTGGCAAAGGACCAAAGGACGTGTATTGATACTTCTGAAATAAATCCTACTAATAAAAAAAGTAAATACCCCAATTAAAACAGAGTTGAGTAAGTACTTTACATATTTACATAAAAGGAAAGGTTGTCCAAATGGCTAAAACACAAATAATGATTTCCAATATTAGTACTTATCATATAAAAGCAAATTACAAGTTTCAATGAGATACCATTATATGGATACCAAAATGGATAAAGTAAAAAAGACTGATAGCACCAAGTGTTGGTGAGGATTTGGTACAGACAGAATGCTACTGGGAGTATAAACTGATTCAATTACTTTGGCAAGCTTCTTGCAGTATCCATTAAAGCTAAACAAATGTTTATTCTTTGAAACAATGGTTTCATTTCTAGGTGTATCCCAAAAGCAATGAGGATATACCAAAAGACACAAAAGAATATTCACAGCAGCTTTATTCATAATAACCTCAAACTGCAAAAACACAAATGAAAAACTCACCAACAGAAGAATGAACAAATAAATTATGGCATACTCATATAATGAAATATGGCTCAGCACTAAGAGAGGAGAATTAAAACATAGCAAAACTGATGATTCTAAAAATATTATGTAGAGAGAAAGAAGACAGATCTGTTCCCTTGAAAAAGAGTACATACTATATGCTTCCATTTATGTGATGCTCAAAAATGAATTTATCCTTTTTTTTCCTCACATGTGAGATCAGAATAGTAGTTGCTTTTGTAGAGGGAAGCAGTGGTTATTAGCTAGCAACTGCCAGGAAGAAAATTTCAGGGGCGATGAAAATGTTCTCCATCTTAATCTGGGTGCCAAATTACACGAATATACACACGTACAAATCCTTCCAATTATATACTTATGAGTGCAGTTTACTGGCATTAAAACTGTACCTCTGTTAAATAACCAAATTTTGAAAAGGAAAAAAGAATGCATAAAACAGAAAAATAATTTTTTTTTTAAAATAGGGTCTTGCTGTTGTCCAGGCTGGAGTTCCGTGGTACAATCACAGCTCACTGCAGCCTCAAACTCCCAGGTTCGAGCAATCCTCCCCACCTCAACCTCCCAAGTAGCTGGGACTACAGGCACACACCACTGTGCCAAACTATACAAGAGAAAAATTTAGCAATATCTGTCTAGTTGGTAATTTGGGAAGATGGGAACATATTTGTTACATTATTTCTTGGTATCTTTCTCTATTTAAAAAGTTTCCGAATTCCTTACAGGAAGAAGAAATTTGGACACAGACATGTAGAGGAAAGACGAGGTGAAGACAGACATCTACAGACAGAGGAAAGAGGCCTGGAACAGCTCCTTCCCTCACTGCCCTCAGGAGGAACCCACCTGCGGAGGTCTTGATTTCAGATGCCCACCTCCAGAACGGTGAGAAGAGACATTTCTGCTTACGCCACCCAGTCCGTAGTACTTTATTATGGCAGCCCTAGAAAGCTAATACACCCAGTCTGGTCCTAACATTTATCTCCAGCACCATCTTTAAAAAAATTTTTTTTTTTAATTTTAAAGATGTGGGGTACGATTTAGGGCTAGGTATACAAACGTTGATTATGCAGGTACCCTTGTTGATAAGATATGCCCCTCCCACTCCTGGCCGTTTCCCTCAACTGCCAATCCCACTACCCCTTCCCTGCCAATCCCTTTCTTGTAGTATTATAATTGTTCAAGGACCGCTTATGAGTGAGAACATATGGTACTCTGTTCTTTGTTTCTGTGATAGATCACTGAGTATGATAGCTGCTAAATCCATCCTTTTATTTCCTAAGAGAAGTCTCGTTGTAACGGGCAAAGATTCTTACAGGACCTCGCCTGCCTTGTCCAGTCCACTCTGAAAACACAGCAGCCTCCCGTACCTGCAATAACTGAAACCCTGCCCATTCTTCAGGGTCAACACGAACCTTTCAACTCTCCGTCTTTGTTCAACTGAGTCTACACCACCCAATCTGTCCTGTCTGATAAGCTTCTATCTCAACCTATTTCAGTCACCTGAAAAACTGTATTAATAAAAGCCCTGCTTTGGCACCATGCCCTCTACTTCCACTGAGGAAAACGCAGAAGGAGCATACTGCATTTATTTCAGGACTGCTATTGGAGAGATGTCATTTACATGAAGACCAACAAAGACATTTTTCTTGACTTCAGTGACTTTAAAGTCCATGAAGAATCAGTTTGGTTGAAGCTTCTTATCAAGGCAAATCTTTAAACAAGTATTCTCTCTTATTCTCTGCCATGGCGATCCGGGAGAATAAAAACCGCGCTCCACTTTGGAAAATCTGTCACACTGGGGACCTGCGTCTTTCCACATGCCAACTCTGCTGTGCTATTCACCTGCTTTTCTGTATCTTCCCTGAATGATTCTGATTCATTTCTATTTCTACTTTTCCATACGAACCCTTAAGCACCCATGCAAGCTAAGATAAAAAGGGTTTACTAACTCACCTGAGATATGTTCATTTTCTGCTGCATTTGGAAGAGTGCGGAGAACTGTAAAGGGTAAGCTGGGGGTAAGGAAAGAGTCATGAGAGGTCTGTTAGATTTGGAATTAATCTGCCCAAAGGTCTCACCATACCAGCTGGAGAAAAGGCCTCCCTATGGAAAAATGCTCCTTTGATTCTTGAGGAGACAGGAAGTAGCACATAAAGATAGCATCTCCTGAATATGTGTGTTTCTAATATGATCATGTAGATATAATCTTGCTGTTTTTCACTGAGTGATAGCAAATTATTTTTCTATTGATATACTAAAAATGTCTTTGGCTAATTAACAAAACTAAAACAGGATTAATATTAATATTCGATTAATATTATTTATACCAATAAAAATCAACAGAAACTGAAAAATGAGATGCTTAAAGACAGAATATTTTAAAATCTTTTTGTTCTAATTTGTTGCAGTTTCTCAAAAGACTTTTGATAAGACGTTTCTGGTGACTCAGCTGTCACAGAGTGACTATACTTTGCTTTGCTCCGAGCTCTGTCCTGGGTGACCACGGACAAATCATCCATCTCACATTCACTATTTTTTTTTTTGAGTTGGAGTCTCACTGTCACCAAGGCTGGAGAAGTACAGTGGCACAATCATGGCTCTGGTAGCCTCAACCTGCTGGGCTAGGCAATTCTTCTGCTTCAGCCTTCCAAGAAGCTGCAATTACAGGTGCAAGCCATCATGCCTGGCTAGTGTTTTGATTTATTGTAGGGATGAGGTCTTATCATGTTGCCCAGGCTGGTCTCAAACTCCTCCTGCCTCAGCCTCACAAAGTGCTGGATTACAGGCGTGAGCCACAACGCCTGGCCCAGATTCACTATTTTAAAAGACTCAGAAATAGAAATACTTTCCTGTATTATCATCCTGTGGCTCTCCATGTTCAGGACAGAGGAAACCTTTGTGTATCTCTAGATGCTACATGTGATAAACACGGTGTCAGAGGAACTTAGAGTCTGTTAAGAGTGAGGCAAGGGTTAAGAAAATGAGGGCTCTACCAGCAGGATTAGAGGCGGCATTTCCTCAGCTCTGGCTGGTTATGCCTCCCTTGGAGACGAGGCAGAGAAGCCCTCCAGCAGCATGGCTTTCTCTGTGCAGCCTGGCAGTCACCCGTCCCGCACAACCCAGCTCACCAAGTTCATCCACAGCGTTCACTGTCCCACAGTCTGCGATGGCTTCTGGATGTGGCGACATCACCGGGTCTGGCTCTCTCTGGGCAAGGAGGTTAAGAACCGCCTCTGGTGGGGCCAAACAGGGCCTGTTCCTTTCTGAGTTCTTGTGCGTCTATTACGGAGTTCTGGCGAGCAGGTCTCTGCCACAGAGCAGTTCTTCCAGGTGGGACGCCTGTCCTGCGGCTGCTGCCACACAACGAGCTGCCCTGCTCCAGAGAAGCTGGGACTTAGGCCTGGGTAACAAATTCATTTTAGTTGAAACATTCATGAAAAGTAGCGTTATCCATCAGCACTATTCACAATTCTTTGTCATGGGGAGCTGTCCTAAGCACTGTGGGGTGTTTAGGAGCACTTCTATCTCTACTTTTTGGAGAAATGAGGGTCTTGCTATGTTATTGAGACTTGTCTCGAACCCCTAAGATCAAGCCATCCTCTTGCCTTGACCTCCCAAAGCTCTGGGACTACAGGTGTGAGCCACGGCGCCTGGCCAGGAGCATTTCTAAACATCCCCTAGATGCTAGTACACCCCTCCTCCCAGCTGTGACAATCAAAAATGTCTCCAGACATTTCCAAAGTTCTCTGGGGATCAAAATCACTCTGGATGAAAACCACTGATGCAGGGCCTTAAACCTGATTTTCCAGGAATTCATCCATTCCGGTAGCCACCAGTCATTGACTACTGAGCACGTGAAATGGGGTGAGTGCCACATGCTGAAATAACATTTGGGATACACCGAGAAAAACACCATATGTTCCCAAAATTAATTTCACATTTTGTCTCTGCTTTTCACGTAGCTACCGGAACATTTAAAATGACACATGTGGCTCGCCTTATCTTCGCCGGCCCAGACCATCAGACCGCGCCTTCTGGAGACGAGAGACAGCCTGGACGGCGCAGGAGATGGCAGGGGCTTCCGTCTGACCCCAAAGCCCCGGAGACAGGCCACAAACCCCAGAACAAACAGTAAGGCTCTGTCCACGCTGACTTCCCAAAGCGGTCCTGGGCTTGGGGACAAGTCACTGAGTTAGTGTCGTGAAGGCTGCAGAGCTGGGGGCGGTCGGCAGAACGTCAACAGCCTGATGCGGGAATACAGCCTGCAGGCATTCGCATCCTAGCTCCCGCGCCATGGCTCTACCCTTCCACCCGCGTTTTTCTTTTCTAGCGACACACCTATAACCGGGGTGGGAAACGAAACACTAGACGAACAAAGTGCCTTCCAAATGCGGCAGGAGCCCCGCCGACCCGCTGCCCGTTCACCAGCGCTCGGCCAAGTGCCACCGGCGATGCCTGTTGCCCAGGCCGGCCCGCA